CAGACCCCAGAATGAGCTTCCTGCAGTCTTACTCTACTTCACAAGTACAAAAGAACAGACAACTCTGCCACCTTCTCTGGGCTCCCATGCTCAAGGGGTACTCAACCAACAAGAATGTACCTAGACTCTGCCTCCAGGTCAGGAACTCCTAAAGGGAAGGGCATGTTCTCTTCATTTGAACACTCCCAGTGATGGGCAGACATCAAGCATTCACATACACTTTCTTTACTGCTTCTGGCCATCTGGTAAAATATGTTAATGGGGAAAAGGAGTTAAAGACATTGGTCACTTCCRTGATCCAGGCAGGAGATGCTGGACCTGAAACCAGAGGTATGCTAAAGATGATGGGCATTATGTGTGACTTCATCTCCAAGCCCAGTGACCTCATATGTAAAACTGGGATTCAGGAACCACAACAGGATTGTTTTACCTCTCTAAAGGTACACACATTTATGAAGAATTTAATGATAAGAACCCACAAACTCATCAACTCTGTACCCTCCTCATAGGCAAACTTTTTCATGGCTTCTATCCCTGCCAAGGTCATTCCACAATGAGCTTACTCAGCTTACTCAGAGAAGCCAGGGAAACATCACTGATTCTGTTCAGGTTAAGCATGGGCCTAGGGCACCGGCCACCAGGTTGACACTGGGGAAGAGGCAGACATTCCAGGCAGATGACAAAGGCATGAAGCCCAGAGTGCAGCATTTCTTTCTTTTCTTTTCATTTTTAATTGTAGTTGGACACCTCACATGTGCCAGGCAAGCATTCTACCACTGAGCCACAACCCCAGCCCTTAAATGCAGCATTTCTAGGATGGTAACCTCTGTGCTCCCACCTCATCCTTGATGTCACTCTCAGAAGATGGCCCTGGGCACTTCACCCTTTATAGGACACTGTCTCAACAACAAACCAGTAAGAATCAGTCAGAAATCAGCCTAGTGGTGCAAGCCTGTAATCCCAGCGATTGAGAGGGCTAAGGCAGGAGAATCAAAGTTTGAGGACAGCCTTGGCAACTTAGTTCTTGTCTCAAAATAAAAAAGGGTGGGAATGTAGCTCAGTGGTAGAGTGCTTGCCTAATAAGTGAGATGTCCTAGGTTCAATCCACTGTACCAAAAAATTAAGAATTGTACTATTCATTAGACTGAAGTAAAGGTAACTGTATTAATACACACAACATTTTCTTCCATCTAAGAATCTTTTTTCCTGCTCACTAAAACATTTTGTAGCCCCTTAAAAGAACAATGGGTCTGCAGCACAGGATAAATGATCCTTCCTTAAGGGGGATCTGATTTTCTTGGTGCAGTTCAGGGATACCCCACATAGGCAGAAAAGGGCCCTCTAGTAGTCATGGTTCTGATTTTCCACCAAGGGGAGTTCCAAAAGCATTTAATCGCATCACACAAATGGAGCACTGCTAAGAGTCTGGCACCACGGCGAGGTTTCTGCCCTCTGCACAGGGTGCTTGTAGACCTAGTACCTCCTCTAGATCGGGCTCTGCGCTGAGGATTTCTCCGGTGCAACGTCTCACAGGATAACAAGCCACCCAGTCACCGCTGTCCTGAGCTGAAAGGTTGTACCAGGCCACAGGGGGGCGGACGCCTGTGAAACCAGGTGCCTCCAGGAACTGCTCCCGGCCCCCAGCCCTCCAGGTGGATCATGACGTTGGGGCTGGCCGCAGGGCGCGCCCAAGGCGCAGCTCCCGGCCGGTGGCTCTCAGGGCACGCAGTGCTCGGTGGAGGAGGATCCAGAGGCGACATCCTCGAGGTCAGAGCGGCAAGACCTGCAAGGCGCCCGGTATCAGGTACCGGAAGCTAGAGCYTGCGCCCAGCAGCCGGTGAACCAGACCTCACCCATCTCTTTCTCAGACGCGCACCGCCTGAGGTAGCTGAGTGTGGAGGGTGGTCCCGGCGCTGGCCCTCGCTGGACTCCCGGCCGCGGCCCCGCCCCCCGCCCCGCCCCCCCACCGCGCCGCGCACCTGGTCGCAGCGGCTCAGTAACTGTGAGCACGAGTAGGAAGAGCAGCAGAAAAGCACCGCTGTCTGCTTTGGGCACCATTTATCCTCCGTTCATCGTCCCCGGGGCGGCCGCGTGACCCCGCGGGGAGGCCGGACCGGGCCGGGGTGAGGTTCGAAAGGCTGGACCCGGGCTAGTTGCGGGGACTCCGCGAACGAGGACTCCGGTGGGGCCGCAGCGGGACTGAGCCGTGGTGGGATCGAGCAGCGGCGAGGCAGGGCCGGGGCGAGGCAGGGCAATAGACTCGCACTCACTCTAGGCCACAACCTCGGGCACCGACTCAAGCTCCGCGCAAGATGGCGGCCGTCCTGTTCGAGCCCGCGCCGCCCCGCCTCCAGCCCGCGACGCTGGCGCGAGCCAATGACCACCAAGGGGGGCGGGGCCCGCGCGCGCTCTGCTGCGTGCAAATCTGGGCTAGGCAAGGGGCGGAGTCTGAGCGGAGGGCCTGAAAAGGGGAGAGGCCTAAGGCCGGGACGGCAGGGAAAGAGACTGAGGGACAGTCCCTAAAGGGAGCAGGCCTGAAGCATTCCATTGGCTAGGCAGAGGGGTGGGCCACCCAAGCGTCTAGGGTCCTACAGAGCAATGGGAGAGGGAGAGGGGGAGGGGGAGGAGAGAGACCGCAATGACTGACTTAGAGGGGCGGAGCCTGGGGGCGAAGCGGAGTGGTGTCGCGGGAGTAGCCAATCTAGAAGTCGAAGCAGGACCCCAGAGACCCAAAGACCCAAAGGATCTTCACACTGGCAGACCTACGTCGTCTCCGATACTCAACAGTGCACCCTAAAGTAGCGTTTTAAGACTGGACTGCTTGGGGCTGGGGGTGTGGTTCAAGCGGTAGCGCGCTCGCCTGGCATGCGTGCGGCCTGGGTTCGATCCTCGGCACCACATACAGACAAAGATGTTGTGTCCGCCGAAAACTAAAAACAAAATAAATATTTAAAAAAAAAAGACTGGATCGCTGTGGAGGATGAAGGAAGAAAACTTGGAGGAGCGGAGTAACGGGGAAGAGGGTCAGTCCTGTAAGGRAAAGACAGGTGTGACTTCACCAGCACACAAAACTGAAAGTTTAGCGACTGGGGAAGCTGAGGCAGGAGAATCACAAGTTCGAGGCAAGCCCTCAGCAATCTAGCAAGACCCTGTCTCAAAATAAAAAGGATTGGGGGTGTAGCTCAGTGGTAAAAGCACCACTGTGTTCAATAACCAATACCAAAACCAAAAAACAACAAAACCTGAAAGTCTTAACAGATTAGTAAAGGGGCTAAGGGAGTCACACAAAGAATAACAGGGAAACCCAGATCCTAAAGACTGGAGCAAAGCTGGCCTCTTCTGGAGGATGGACCTGCCTACACACTGGGAGAGGAGGCGAAGGCATAGAGGAAAGCACTGGGTAGAGATGAGGGATGATGCTAAACTCTCTGGGAACAAAGCTCCAAGTGCTGACTTTGTACCTGTCATCATGAATAGGGTGAACAGGGAGGAGAGATAACAGATGGGGCATCCTCAGCAGGAGGGATAAGCAAGCTGTCCGCCAGCTAAACACCAGACCTGGCAGTATGGGTGGTCAAGGCTAGGAAAAGTGAAGATGAGGAGCACTGAAAAAGGGTAAGGGTCAAAGCTAGTGGGATCCCAGCATACCCTGACCCACCTCCATCCCTTTTTCCAGCCTGTGACTCTTGAGGTATGACAGAGGGTACCTTACTCTCTCTCAATGTGAATAAGTCAAGGTCAAACCCAAAGTTAGGCCAGATCATACTCTCCCAGGACATAGCCTAGATCAGGTGCTGGACTAAGGGCTTGTCACAGCAGAGGGATCCCTCTGCTAGCAGAAACCAACGTCCCTGTCCAGTGCTGCCCTTGTTGCTTGTGCCATTCTCAGAGCATTCCCAGGAGCAGCTTCCAGTACTCAGCATACTAGGTCCAGCCTTTTGCTTCTCCCCCAGATCTGTCCTGGGAGCCCAGCCAGGACCATAAGCTGGGCAAGGGCCCTAGGAGGGAACTTACAGTCAAGAGCAGAATTTGAGTCAGTTGTCCTCGAAAAGAGCCACTGTAAGAGAAGCAGGCCACTAAAGGTTTGGATGAGGAAAGAAAACTACAGAGAGGTGAAAAGTCTAACCAAATCTTGCAATGAGAGTGCAAAGTCCTGCTTTCCCAAACTGCAGCAACTGATTCTTTGCACCTCATAACCCATCTTCACCCTTCTTCAGCCTTGCTCTGGGCCCCTGCAAACTGCCTGTGTGAATAATGTCAAGAGCTAAAGGGAGGAAAAGAGGTCTGGATCACTTTCCCTAACACAAACCTGTGATGTCACCACAGCCTAGCTCTTTCCCTCCACCAACGGTTTTTGCCTCTCTCAGGGTGGTTTTCTCTATACTCCTCCTTCCATGTGGGCCAGAGGTCTGTAACTACCTTAGGGTACCTATACTACCCTTGGAGTTCCCTACACTCTGCTTTCACTTTGTAAATCATCCCTTAATTAAATCCTCCTCAAACTATTGTAAATTCAGTGTGTCTGCTGTTTCCTGTTGAGACCCTGACTGATAGGACCTGCCCTAGATTCTCTAGAGTGACCTGGTTTGCAGTCACCAGCGCCATCACTCCACAAGCAAGCCTGGTTATGGTTTTGGAAACATGGGCAAACATTTGTATTCCCCACAACCCTCTCTTACCTCAAGTCCCAGCCAAGCATGAGGGCACTCTGCTGGCCTTCAGTCTGCTCCAGCCCACTGGCAGATCCTCCCAGGGTTCCAAGTCCAAGCCAAAGCCTCATTTCCCTAGGGCACTCCTCCTTTGTGACTTCACCCACTGAAGTCACCTGGGAGACAGTGCTGAATGTTCCATCTTAGAGTCTTGGCCTCTTAGGAGGCAGGGACAGCAGGCCCGGCCAGCCCAGAGGACTCTCTGTCTACAGTGTAAATGAGGACACTGCTGGCCCATGTCCCGCAGGGATGTAGAGGGCAGCCTCAGAGGCACTGGGCGCTCCCGGCACCATGGATGACGCTGCCGTCCTCAAGCGACGAGGCTACATCATGGGGATAAATTTGGGAGAGGGCTCATACGCAAAAGTCAAATCCGCTTACTCTGAGCGCCTAAAGTTCAACGTGGCGGTCAAGATCATCGACCGCAAGAAAGCCCCCACAGACTTCCTGGAGAAATTCCTTCCCAGGGAAATTGAGATTCTGGCCATGCTAAACCACCGCTCCATTGTCAAGACCTACGAGATCTTTGAGACATCAGACGGCAAGGTCTACATCGTCATGGAGCTCGGGGTCCAAGGAGACCTCCTTGAATTCATAAAAACCCGGGGAGCCCTGCAAGAGGATGATGCTCGTAAGAAGTTCCACCAGCTCTCCTCGGCCATCAAGTACTGCCATGACCTGGATGTCGTCCACAGAGACCTCAAGTGCGAGAACCTTCTCCTGGACAAGGACTTCAACATCAAGCTGTCTGACTTTGGCTTCTCCAAGCGCTGCCTGCGGGACGAAAGTGGCCGACTGATATTAAGCAAGACCTTCTGTGGGTCAGCAGCATATGCAGCCCCCGAGGTGCTGCAGGGCATCCCCTACCAACCCAAAGTGTATGACATCTGGAGCCTTGGCGTGATCCTCTACATCATGGTCTGTGGCTCCATGCCCTACGATGACTCCAATATCAAGAAAATGCTGCGCATTCAGAAGGAGCACCGTGTCAACTTCCCACGCTCCAAGCACCTAACAGGAGAATGTAAGGACCTCATCTACCGCATGCTACAGCCGGATGTTAACCGGCGGCTGCACATTGATGAGATCCTCAGCCACTGCTGGGTGCAACCCAAGGCACGGGGTCTATCCTCTGCAGCCATCAAGGAGGGGGAGAGCTCCCGGAGCATTGACCCGCAATGGACCCCTGAACCTGGCTCTGACAAGAAGTCTGCCACCAAGCTGGAGCCTCGGGAAGAGGCTCGAGCTGAGGCACGACACGAGACACGACCTGAGACAAAACCTGAGGAGGATACAGTGCAAGTGGCCAGGCAATCAGAGACCCTGGGCTTCAGCAGTGAGCAGATGATCAGGGAATCAGAGGAAGGGCCTCCCCAACAGCCTCCAGAGACACACACCTAGTGAGCCTCTTGCAGCCCAGGGGGCTGGCAGGGAATGAGGCAGAGCTCATGGCTTGAAGCCTGAGCCCAGAAGGAGTCAAGGGATGAGCAGAGAAGGAAGACAGTCCCGGATGAGCCGCTATTTTCGTCAGTTTCTTCTCCCACCCTTTGAACTTGGTAACTAACATGGCTAAAGAAGCAATAAATCACTATATTAGTGCAGACCCCGAGGTGAATGTCTTTGCCCCACTGACTGCAGTCCTGGGTGCCCCCTGGCTTCCCACTCAGATTATGAATTCTCACTCCTGGAAAAATATATCCCAGTGTGCCCAGCTCAGACTGTGACCTTAGGACCTGGCTAAGGCAGCTTTTTCAGGTGTTGGGGAGACCTGGAGGGGCATGGGTCAGAGCAGAGAGTTGGATGAGGAAGATATTGCTTCCAAAGGAAGGTGTATGGGTGCTGATTAGGGGTAGGAAAGGGTAGAAGGCTGAGAAAGGCAACACAGTTGCCTGCAAAGGAAGGGTGGGAGGCCAGGGCCTCTCATACTGGGATAGCTGGCTCTCTGCATTTGAAGCTGAGTTCTAGACTGATATGCCACCATCACCCCTTGGCGTGCATTACATAAGCTTTCCAGTCAGTGAGGGTTGGGGGAGAGACTGCAGACGGCAGGACAACTGTTTTTTTTTTTTTCTGTTCTGTCCACATGGGACATGTTCCCCCCATGTCCAACTGGCACCCAGTTCTCAACAGTGCCCTGAGTTATATCCCCACCATGGTCATTCTTCAGCCCAGGAGAAGTGAGAGACTCAGCTGGATGGCCCAGCATGTTCCACAGTCCTATGTGGCCTTGACCACATCCCTTCCCCAGCCTGATGCCAGGGGTGGCATTCCTTCCAGAGGTAAGAAGCTGACACTGGCAAATAGAATAGATATCCTCACAAAGAATGCCGGGACCCTGTGGACAAAGAAGGCAGGTACCAGTATCCCATGGGAGGTATGGCCTGCACTTGGCACTATTGATTGCCATGTGCTACATGCCCTACCTGTGCCTTGTCCCAGGCAATCCTCACTTGGCCACAGTGGCCCCTCTCTTCACCTCACATTGGATAACCTCATGGGGGGTGGTGCTAAGGGCTTAGTACACATACACAAAAACAAGAGCATTTAAAATCACTCCTCCATCTGTATCCCAAACTTGGAAACACCCCAACTCCCAAGACCCTGGGAAAAGGTGAGGTCCAGTGAGATCCCAGCATCCCTTCCTACATTCAATTTACTTTCCTCCCTGGCTTCTCTCTCACCCCATAGCCCCTTCCCCTCCCATCACCTCCCACATGAACCACCCTCCTACACCCAGTCTGGCCCCTACCACCCACAGGATGGATTCAAGTACCTAACCTCTTAGGTCTTCTCAGGCTTGGCCTTCTCCTTTTTTTTAAATTTATTTTTTAGGTGTAGATGGACACAGCACAATACCTTTTATTTTTATGTGGTGCTGAGGATCGAACCCTGGCCCCACCTATGCTAGACAGATGCTCTACTCCAGAGCCACAATCCCAGCCCTGGCCTTCTTTAGACCCATCCTTTCTCTGCTGGCCTCCTAGAGATGACCCTGACCCCCATACCTCCATCACACACTAGTGCCATAATTACTAGTAGGCTTGCCCCTGCAGACTCTGCCCATCTCCCCAGGTTTAGCCAAGGGGGCTTGGCCTCCACAAAACCTTTTTGGGATTCCTACTGGTGCTCTGCATCCTGTTCCTGTGAACTCTGCCAGAGAGGCCTCTGAGTACCCAGGACCTGGGCACAGAACAGTCCTCAGTAATACCAGAAGGCCTTCCAGCATCTTTCCCATGAATAAGCTTGTGTTGGAATGGTATCCCAGGGCACATGATGCTACCTGGGTGGGGAGGTGAAAAATGGCTCATCCCTGCAGGTCTTCCATAGTCCTCAGGACAGAGGAGAGTAAGAGGGCCTAGGAGTGACTCACTGCTGCCCAACCCAGCCAGAAGGCATCCTGGGCAGGGGGGGCTTTAGGCGTACCTGCTGTGTGCTTTACAGGTGTGAAAATAGCTCAGAAAGGATTGGCAACCTACCTGAAAGCACAGTACCAGAGCAGCAGGCCCAGGTAACAACCAGGTAACAATAGCTTCCACAGATAGCCTCATCCTTTTGGACAGTTTTTCTTGTGTGTTTGACCCTGGATTGATCACCTTCATCCTCAGAGGCTTTAGGACCAGGACTTCAAGGTGGTTCCCTGGTCATTTATGTCCTCATCATGAGGTGACCCTCAGGCCATTATAGGCATTACCTACCCACGATTCTCTTCCACCTGGCTAGTTACCCAGACCTCAGCCTTCTTAAATTTAATCTCCAATTCTCTGTCCTCATAGCTCCATGGTGCCATGTCAGGACACAACCACCATCATGCATTCACACTGGTGGGTATGACATCTAGCTTCCCTGACCTCTGGAATCCAGGAAGGCATGAGTGCCTCTAGTTCACTAGTGTCCCTCAGCACCGAAAACAGACTCTCACAAGCTTGTGGGAAGAATGGATCAGTGGGGATCTAATTTATTTAAGAAAGTGAAACTCAGAGGACTATAGATTTCCCGGAATGTGCAGGTCCCCAGCCACACTAGATATAACCCTAGAGGTCTCCAGTCAGATCTAACGTACTCCAAATATACTAGGTGCCCTAGCCTCGTGACAAAAACACCCAGGACAAAACCACCCACTCCATGTTTCAGCAGCTCTGCTTGTGCCAAGCTGACGCTTGCTTCCTACAGCATGTCCCCGAAGAAACAGAGAAACCACAGTATCCTGGGCAAGGGCAGGGTTGAGAGAGCAACATCCATGAAAGAGAGAGAGAGAGAGAGAGAGAGAGAGAGAGAGAGAGAGAGAGAGA